GCTGTGGGCAAGCTGCAGTAGCCAACCCAGAATCGAGCAGGGGGTGGGACAAGACAACCTCCAGAGGCACCTACAGACCCAGCGATTCTGGGGCTTTCCACAGCAGCAGGTCACACCCGAGGGGCTCTGGGGCAGCAGCAGGTTTGTTTCTCTCTTCCCAGGTGATGGGGGTTGCAGTGACCCTCCTCAGCACTGCTGTCCCAGCCACGACAGTTACAGACAGCCTCTCCGCCTCCTCCTCAGCTTGGAGCCCATGCGTAGGTAATGTGGCCAAGAAGAATGGCATGTTGCCAAGTGCTGTAGATCTCCTCCCCAAATGACAGGGGACAGGCACAGACCTGGGGCTCTAATTGACAGCTGAGCTGGGACACCAGGCACAGCCACTGGCAGCTCAGGGCAGCAAGGGCAGGGACATGGCAGGGACCTGTCCTACCATCAAACAGCGACAACAGAGACTACTACATGTCTGTGATGGCAAGAGTACTTTTTATCACTTTCCCGTTGCTCCATGTCAGTGTGGTATCAATATAGCTGCTGCCGTAGCCACCACAGTAATAGACGGCCTCGTCCTCGGCTTGGACCCCACTGATGGTTAACGTGCCCGTGGAGCCGGACTTGGAGCCAGAGAATCACGAAGGGATGCCCGAGGGTCTCTTGTCATTCCAGTAGATCACAGTGACAGGGGCAGTGCCAGGTACCTTCTGCTGGTACCAGCCCACTTCATAGCTGCTGCTGCTGTACACCCCAGAGCAGGTGATCTGGACGGTTTGTCCCGGGTTCGCTGACACCGAGGGCGGCTGAGTCAGCGCTGCCTGGACCAGGGAACCTGGAGAGGGAGAGGAGAGAGGGGAGAAGACAGGGGTCAGACAGTGCCCCACGAGCACAGCCCTCCCCAGGAAGTGTGACAGGGACAGGACCTCCCTGTGCCTAAATGCCATGATGACACAGAGCGACTCAGCCCAGCACACAGAGCCCAAGGACAAACTTGGGACTTTTAGGAGCTACTGTGGAGGGAAAGAAAATAAAAAGGAAAAACAAACCCTTTAAAAGACAGCTTAGGAAATATGTTTGCAGGAGGGACCAGATCACGTCTTAGAAGACTTCAGTGAGAAACAATGCGCAGTGCCCGTGGTGCCAGACAGGGATCCGGAGAATCGTGAAGGGATGTCCGCGGGTCTGTAGGTATTCCAGTAGATGACAGTGA